TCACTTCTCCTCCCCCACACAGTGGTCCCATGACTCTCCTCGGCTGTCACCACTCCTCCCCTACACAGTGGTCACATGACTCTCCTCGGCTGTCACCACTACTCCCCTACACAGTGGCCACATGACTCCTCAGCTGTCACCACTCCTCCCCTACACAGTGGTCACATGACTCTCCTCGGCTGTCAGTTCTCCTCCCCTACACAGTGGTCACATGACTCTCCTCGGGTGCCAGCGCTCCTCCCCTACACAGTGGTCACATGACTCTCCTCGGGTGCCAGCGCTCCTCCCCTACACAGTGGTCACGTGACTCTCCTCGGCTGTCAGTTCTCCTCTGCTACACAGTGGTCACATGACTCTCCTCGACTGTCAGTTCTCCTCTCCTACACAGTGGTCACGTGACTCTCCCCGGCTGTCAGTTCTCCTCTCCTACACAGTGGTCACGTGACTCTCCCCGGCTGTCAGTGTTCCTCCCCTACACAGTGGTCACGTGACTCTTCTCCGCTGACTATTTGCGACTGACTCTCTTTTGGTTTAGGCCGAGTCGTCCCTTGAAGTCAGATATTTATATTGCCGCCATAGATGAGCAGATTTCCCCCCCCCAATATGGACGCTGTGCGGGGTGATCCATGGGGGAGGGGCATCGCTTTGTTCCCGCCTCTCCATAGGAAAGGGAAGGGTTGGCAGCAATGGAAAAGATAAACGATGCGATGATCTATAAATGTACAACGTCCAGTCAGATTTCAGTTTGCTGTCAGGTCAGGTGACAGACGGATTCCGATTGGCTGCTCTCCCTAGAATATAATATGCGCGGCGGTTCTGGTGAATGTCCCCTCCCCCCACCTCATTACCGTGAAGTCAGGGGTGGCGGCCAGGCGCGGCCCATCTCTCCCCGGCAGTGGGGAGCTGACATAGCGGGAGCGCAGTACTGTGGGGTCCCCGATCTGGCTGCCGATACAGAACTTCTCCCGATGCTTCTCCAGGAGGGGGAGGGAGCGGAACATCATGTGACAGTTGTGGCACCGGTGACTCCCCAAATCCTCCATGACGACCACGGGGGCCCCCGCCGGCTCTTCCTTCCCACCTGGAGGGAGAGAAGAAACACCACACAGTCACCTCACACAGACCAGCAGAAAATGCTACTTCCCCCGGCTGTCATGCTGATCCTCCGGCTTCAATACCGCCATGCAAAACACGCACTCAGATAAGAGCTACCTGGGTGTCATGCTGATCCTCTGGGTTCAATACTTCAAAGCCAAGCAAGCAAATAAAAGGCCCCTGATCCGCATATCTGTAAACGGGAATGTTGGGAAGCAAGAGGATCAACATGATAGACTGCAGGGGCAGCTTTCTCCTCCCATGACAGGGTTATTAAAGGTCAAAGTGAGGAAGAAGTAATGATGGCAGAGGACGGGGGACACCCCGGGGTCACCTCGGGACTTTCAGGGACACCCGAGATTTGTCAGGGACACCCGAGGATTGTCAGGGACACCCCGGGACTCTCAGGGACACCCCGGGACTCTCCGCACTCACCGCGCTCCGCTCGTTTGCCTGAAGTTTGCTGGAAGCGGTGGCGGTTGCCATAGAGACGGCGCGAGGGGGCGGGGCAAACATCCAAGCATGGGCCTGCCCACTAAGGCGGAGTTACACCTCCTACGGTATCTGCGCTGAGGAGACCCCGCCCCGTTCCTGACACATGTGAGTGCTCCGCTGAGATGACGGAAGATCGTCATCTTCATCCCTGTTATCCTCATCCCCGGAATCCTGCCATGAGGGGGAGACAGATACCTGCACTGCAACGTCACACATTACACCGATTCCCCTCACCCCGAAATTTGAAGACACCCTGCAGGAGGTACAAATCTCAGTATCTGTCCTTATTCTGTATGTATGGACTCTGCACAGTACCACTTCCCTTGTCCTGTATGCCGGGTGTCAGTCTCGGTATCTGTTCTTATTCTGTATGTATGGACTCTGCACAGTACCACTTCTCTTGTCCCGTATGCCGGTGTCATTTTCGGTATCTGTTCTTATTCTGTATGTATGGACTCTGCACAGTACCACTTCTCTTGTCCCGTATGCCGGGTGTCATTCTCGGTATCTGTTCTTATTCTGTATGTATGGACTCTGCACAGTACCACTTCTCTTGTCCCGTATGCCGGGGTACAGTCTCGGTATCTGTTCTTATTCTGTATGTATGGACTCTGCACAGTACCACTTCTCTTGTCCTGTATGCCGGGGTACAGTCTCGGTATCTGTTCTTATTCTGTATGTATGGACTCTGCACAGTACCACTTCTCTTGTCCTGTATGCCGGGTGTCAGTCTCGGTATCTGTTCTTATTCTGTATGTATGGACTCTGCACAGTACCACTTCTCTTGTCCTGTATGCCGGGTGTCATTCTCGGTATCTGTTCTTATTCTGTATGTATGGACTCTGCACAATACCACTTCCCTTGTCCTGTATGCCGGGTGTCATTCTCGGTATCT